CTATCAGTAACGTTTTCATCACTAAAATATATTGGATTGATAAGAATTTTTATCTAATTGTATTATAAGAATGACTTTTAGAATTTTTTTTTTTGGGTTTTTTTAAATGTGAGTATCCATTTGCTCAATGAATACTTAGATACTTTCCAACACCACATGTCACATGTCACCCTAGCAACCGTGACGCAGTGGTTAGAGTTCTGGCTCAGAACCCAGAGGTCCGAGGTTTGACGCCAGCTCTAGCCCAACAAGCGACATTGGTACGGAAGGAGGCATGAACTTCCTGTTAAATGCTCTCCCGCGGTGCTCTATGATAAGACCGTAAGGACTTCTGGGAGCACCTAAATACATACAAAAAAAAGTGAACCACATGACAAAATATTACGTCAATACTATTAGATAAAAATTCTAATCAATCCAATATATTATACTGATAGATTGAGTATTATTTTGTTCTTAATGCTGCATTTGAATTACAAATGATTTAAATTCAAAGTTTTAAAAAGGTTATGTTTTGGTTTATTAGTAAAGATAATAAAAAAGTAAGATAAAAAAACGAGTTAGTAGTTGCGGTTGGTTTTTTTAAATATATTTAAGGGCTGGTCTGCTTTTCCTATATTCTTTTGCAATAAGTTTATCGTAAATAACTACTAAGCACTTACCATTCTTTTTGTGCATTTAAATTTCGTTTAGAATTTTTTTTTCCTAATTTGAGTTATTTATTGAATAAATCTTAATTTAAATAGATTTCCGACTATTTAAGTCTGTTACGCTTTTGCTCTGTTTTAATAACGAAGCCGATTAACAGCTATGTTTCTCGTCTTGTCTTTTTCTTTTTTTTCCCCCCGATGTCGAAATAACTTTTTTAAATAAATAAACTTCATTAAAAGACAAATCGAACGATATAAAAAAACTTTATTTTTATAATTTTTATTTTATGGAATATTAAATGGAAAATTACACACACAATTAATACTAACAGTAAATTAATTAAATTAATCTGTATACAAAAGAAACTTAAAGCTTGAGGTGTTCTTATTGATTCTTTAGTTTTCTTTTTTACCTGGTGGTTTAGCTGACTGACTTTGTTTCAATTTTTTTTCTTCTCTTTTCTGTGCATATTTCGCTTTTGAATAGCAGCGGCAATCTTCTTTAGCTCTCTAGCCAATTTCTATGCAACTTGTTCGTCTAATTTTTTTGTTGTTCTTGTTCAATTTCATTGAAAGCTATGTCATCCGCCGAAGTCATATTGTAATTAGCTAGTCTTTTTATTTTCTCACCTCTTTAAACTTTTATATTTAGAGTTAGTGCCAATTGATCTCTTAGCATATTTATCTAATTTGTTTATGTATTTTCCAATTTGTTAAACGGCATTATTCAAAGTATCAAAGCCTTTAAGCAAAATTACCTGTATTTAAGTGTCTAGTTTTTTTTTAGTGGTGGCTAATTTACTTTTTTATTTTTTTCAATCCATACAAATATAATTTATTCTTTTTTTTTTTCATTAAAATGATCTGCACCAAATAGAATTTTTACTTTTTTTAACTTTTTCGTTGCAAATCTAAGTTATTTTTTTTTTCTTTTGTTAATTTAAGATCAATTTGAAAATCAAATCCGGAATTTAGGAGTTTTACGGTATTCAAAACAAAAACAATTAAAAATAATTATTGTGTCAATTTAACTTTAAATTTAAATTTGTTGGGTTTATGAGCGATTTTATCAACCTTAAAACAAGAGCATAAGCTTTTAACTGAAAACTTTCACAGTATGTTTGTTAGTTATAATAGTAGGGGGTTGAACCAAAACTGGTGTTTTAATTAAAGTTTTAAACATTACCATAACAACCGTGCTCGTAATCATAGTAAACACAATTGGTATAAATATTCTATTAATGATTAATAACTAAATATGTATATTAAAATTAGTGATGTGCCATAAATAATAGAGACTTATTTTGTTAAAATTATGTATAGAGCAGCTGTGGCGCAGCGGTTAGAGTTATGGCTCAGAACCCAGAGGTTCGTTGTTCGACGCCGGCTCTAGCCTAACTAAACGACGTTGGTATGGAAGGAGGCGTGAACTTCCAGTTAAATGCTCTCCCGCGGTGCTCCGTGATAAAACCATAAAGGCTTTTGGAAGCTCTTAAAATAACTTAAACAAAAAAAAAAAATTTAGATGTATTTTAATTATCAAACTACATATGATTGGTTAATGTAGGTAAAGTTAAAAGGTAAAGTAAAGTTAATGATCTGATTTAAATGTAAAGTTAAGAGGAGAACAAAGCATGTAACTCATTAAAAATAAACTCCGTGTATGTTTTTTCTTGTGCAAACTGGTTTAATGAAGAAAAAAAAGTTTCTTTTTAGCGTTTGATGTTATAATTAAAATTATTCACTTAAAATGTTAACAATGGCTGGGTATATTTAGGAATTAATTCAACACATATCTTTGGCATAAGATTTATTCTAGGTATCTAACCAATACTCCTAGATACTTAAGTAGTATAATTAATATTAAATTTAGTTTAATTATTAGGTGTAATACTAACTTAAAAAGTCTGAAGCAAAAGTATATTTAGTCTTTTAACCAGATGCATTAGTAGCTTCCTTAATCTTATCAATATTAAATCTTATTAATATTAAATACTAAACTGAATCCTAAATTGATTGATTTAAACTAAAGCACATCTGAAATATTAAGTCTCAAACATTTATGACACAACAGTGATATTTATATTCATTGTTTTATAAATAGTCAATAATAAAACATTTATTTATCCCCAAATCGATGGTTTGAAAACTATTTTTACTTGACAAACCAAAAACTGACTTAAATATAGAGAAGTGGTAGCTTTGAATATTTTTTTAACTATTTTTATAACTATTTTTTATACAGTGGGTTGCCAAATTATTGGGGGCAGCGTGATATTAGAAAAATTTCCTCGTAACATATACAAAAAATATGCAAAAGACATAAAATTTAAGTTTTTTTTTGTATTTTTAATGAGATTTTTATACATGTTATCTTTATTTTCTAAAAAAAATTTCATTAATAAAAAATGTAAAGTAATAAGGTAAAAAAAACTGTCAATGTTTGGTGATACTGCCCTTTGCGGCAATCATTGTTTCGATACGCCGTTGCATACTTTCTTTGCACATTTTTGCAAAGTTTTTATATTTTGCTGAGCCAGAAACGTTGTAAAGCTTTATGACAGGGAGCCGAGTCATGCACAAAATCCATTCTTCGTCATTATGAAACTATTTAGCGATTTGAGGTTGCAACCTATTTTTCGAAAAAAATTCTTGTAATGGTCTTGCGACGCTGTTATAAAAAGAAGTGAAACTAATATTATTATTTGTAATTTGTATAGTATTTAAGTATCCACTACACTTACTCAATTCCAGTCTTCTACGGTTAAATTTTTTTTGAGCTAAAGTCCATTTTTCTTCATGGCTTTAGTTAACTTATATTTTTTTGTTGGTTTATGGCCGGTTAGATTTTCCTCGCAAAGCCGCCTGTGGACTGTTTGATACATCTGTCCCTTGTTCATTTACCATTACCGAAAGATGAGCCACACTCATTTTACGGTTTTGGAGGCAGGTATCCCTAATTTTTTAATTGCTGCGAGGTGTAGTTACTTGTTTTCTTCCGCATTTTCCCATACAATTTTATTCAAGGATCAAGTTAAGATCAATTTTAACCAGAGTTGTTAACAAGGCTAAAAGTATCAAGACCAAGGCCAAGGCCAAGGCCACGCATTACAAGGTTAAAGCCAAGACCAAGGTCAAAAGTTACAAGGCCAAGGCCACGCGTTACAAGGTCAAGGCCAAGATTAAGAGTTTCAAGGCCAAGGTCTACGCAGACATTTTCAAGACCAAAGACTTCAACTTTTGCCTTACGTTAAGACCAATTACTAACACAACTGTAAGTAGCTAGTGCTGTGACAATAAAACCACATTTTGTAAAAATAAACCAAGGTTATAAAAAATATAAATCATTCGAGAACAAAGTTTTCATTTAATTAGTCAATGGGGTACAAAAACTCTAAATTTTGACGTTTAATAAAGTATAAGTGTTGCCAAATTGAATAATATAGTTAATATTATTACCTGTAGTCAAAATTCGGCAAGAAAACATTTGAAAAATTAATATTTTGTCGTAAAAGCCATTTAAAGTCAGATTTTATGCGGATTTCTTACTATCCCTAATAATTTAGCAATCCATTGTAGATTAATATTTTATTTATTTTAACCACTTTTTTATTTTCGAATAGTCAAAGAATCGATGAAAGTGTTTGTATGAATTTTAGGTTAAAAATAAAATCAGTACTTTTAACTTCTATTTTCGTTCTACTTCGATTTTCTAGTCTAATTTTTAGTCTATATTTTAAATAAAGCTTAGGTTTTTGTAAAACAAAGCGTCACTATATTCTTAAATTTGAAACTATAAAACTTTTTTTTCTTATGCAGTCTAATACTCTAAAGAATAGACCAAACTAGACTTATGACTTAAATTTTTAAAGAAGACTTTAAAAGTTTAAAACTTTTTTATGCTTAAAATTTACAGTCAGGCATAACTTTAACTTATAAAACTTTATTTATGTTAAATATTTTTAATACCTTTATATTAAAATACTTTTTTTCAAAAGTATCCTTCCTCTGGCAAAAAGGTACAAAACATGTTCATGTTTTTTTTTATCAAAATCTAAAGTATTAAGACTTCTTTTTGGCGTTGACTCTTTTAAAAAAATGATATTAGATGTATAACTGTCATAATATTAAAAGATTTGGAAAATGTCATCTCAAGGTGAGCGCTATAGGCTCAGGTAAAACTTTAACAAATTTTAAAAAAACATTCCATGAGCCAGGTTTAAGCCTGGAGATCCTGCCAAAAAAGGGTCAATGCAAAAACTGTTGATTTACAGAACTTAGTGAGACAAATTGGGTAGATATTTAGGAATCGCGAAAGCTTTTTATAAGAAATAACAATAATGTGCTAAGTAAGTTAAGTAAGTTAAAGACACATTTCTCCTTTCAAATAAAAAAGCATTTTTTATACAATAGCATTATTTATAAAATAACCACGTTCATTTGATAAGAATCTTTGAATAAGTAAATATTCTATATACACATAAAGTGTCAATATTTATCTAGATATGTACATATTAATGCATATGCATATTATGCAACGCTAACATGCGTGTACCGTAAACACCAAAAACTATTTTTTTATTGTATAAAAAGATTTACATTTACTAATAAGAAAGTGATTATTATAATTACTAATAAGATTTTTATTTGATAACTTTATAGCGAAACTTTTTAAGATATGTTAGTTAATATGTTATTTTATAGTGAAACTTTTTAAGATATGTTAGTTAATATGTTACTTTATATTACAAAATATACAATGAAAAGTGTTAAGAAATATAAATATATAAAATGTAAAAGAATTATTTCCCTTTATAAAGTAAAAAAAATAAAAGTAAAAACTAGAAAAATAAATACTTTATTTTAATTCGCGTAATTTCTTTGGAACTTCTTTATATTTGGAACAATTTGGTCCATAAGCAATAAAAGCATCGAAAACATGCACAACAACTTAGTCCATAAGAAGTGAACAGCATCCAATACAACACATGCAAAAACAGACAAAACCAACAAATGCATAGGACGCAGTTGTTAAACCAAAAGCAAATAAATACAAAGTTTTATTGCAGTAATCAATACTATCAGTATTGTCATAATCAGGCGGATAGTTCGAATAAATCCATACATTACCAGCAATAAACCAACCAATCATAAAACAATCGATAATTCCTTCAAAAGCACTCTTTTTTTTATCTTCATCGTCATTGTTACTGTTTCTATTGCGTCTTTTTATTTGGTTACATAAACCAACAATGTTACGTAAAATTCCAAACGACCCCAGAACAATTAAGTATAATGGAATCTTAGGTTGCACTCTACAATCATCTTTATACTTTGCACCTTTAAAAATGTATTTATAAAAAAACAATATCAAATTTTTTATTTATAAAAAAAATCAGTTTATGGTTATATATATATAAATATATATATATATATATATATATATATATATATATATATATATATATATATATATATATATATATATATATATATATATATATATATATATATATATATATATATATATATATATATATATATATATATATAAATATATATATAGGGTGTCCATTTAAATTTTAAAAAAATTCCAGCACTCATTACCCATATCTTTTTCCAGCATCAGTATTAAAAAAGTACTCAAATTCCAGCACTAATGATATTTCCAAAGTGATAAAAAAAAAAAAGTAAAAAAAAAAAAAGTAAAGTGATAAAAAAAAAAAGAGGTTGTCTTAAAGACAACCACTGTACTTATAAAACAAAAGCAAGGACTTAAATAACGCATTTTTTTAAAATTTAACTAATTTCAAAATTAATAACAAATTAAACTTAATGAAACTCTGAATAGTCAGTCATAACAATGACTGCAGCACAAACTTAAGCAATTTTTTATTTTTAAACATCTTCGCTTCCAAAAAGACTGCAAGCAACCACTAATTAGAGTTGGAAGTTACTGGATGAGAAAAGATGAAGATTGTAGAGCAAGATAATGATTGACAGATGACTTAAAAGATTGCAAATTATATAAATCAGGAAAGCAAGATGAAGGAAGTGAATTCAAAAGAACTGATGTTCGAGGAAAAAAACTAGAGGAATAAGAACTTATGGAGCACACAGGAACAGTCACAGAAAAAGGATGAAACTTAATTGAATGATGAGTAACACAAGAATGAATTTTAGTAGATAGCACAAGAGATGCTAGCTCTTTAGAGCAGTGCCCATTATAGTATTTATAGAAAAGAGAAAGGAAGCAACGTTACGACGATGTGATAATGGTCAGAGAGCAGGTCCAACTATATCTACAATACGTTTTTGCACTTTGTCTAAAAGAGAAAGCGCATCATTAGAAGATCCGCCCCAGATATGGCAACAGTATTCCATACAAGGCCGGATTTCAGATTTATAGAGATAGAAGATCAAATCTAGAGTAAGAGTGTCAAGCTTAATAAAGAGATACAACTTAAGCAGATGCTAACTTGCAACAGATTTGATATATAATTTTCAAGAAAGGTCAGAAGTAAGAGCTAATCCTAAAAGATGAAGGGTAGATGACTCATCGAGTACATTACCTTTCATAAATATAGGAAGGTCTAAATTATTGCGATAACAATTGGCTGAAAGAAATTAAGTTTTATCTAAATTAAAGTTCACCAGCCACTGCTGTAGCAGAAGTGAGATTTTTTCAAGCTCAAATGCCCCCTCCAAGCAATTAGAGAGAGTTGGCTTCTTATTATGACAAGAATAAATGGTAGTATCATCAGCAAACAATGCCACCTTAGATGTGAGAATATCTGGAAGATCGTTAATGTAAATTAAAAAGAGTATAGGGCCAAGGATTGAACTTTGAGGAACCCCTGAGGTTACAGAATAAAAAGAAGAGTGCTGTCCAGCAAGAACAACTTTTATACTAAGATTGGAAAGGAAGGATTCAATAATCTTAAAGATGTTTCCAGATACACGGTAAGAAGAAAGCTTATGGAGAAGACCAGCATGCCAAACTTTATCAAAGGCTTTAGAAATGTCAAGAGTGATGGCATTAACCTCTCCACTTTTATCTAATGCACAATAAAACCTATCGGTTATTACTGTTAGCAAATCAGATGTAAAAAGAGAAGATAGAAATCCATATTGGTGATCAGAAAGTAAGTTATTAGATTCAAGATGAGAGATTAAGTGTTTGTAAATAAAGATTCAAAAACCTTGCTTATGATAGGAAGAAGACTAATGGGACAGTAGTTAGACGAATCAGATCGCTCTCCAGAATTTTTAAAAATAGGGATTAGCAATTAACAAAAAAAATGCTAAAAACAACAACAAAATATTCATGACAGCTAAAAAATAACTATTTAAAATAAACAACTACTTGTAGGCTTACTAAGTTTTTAGTAATTATATCAAAAAACCTCTTATGGAAAGTACAAACCATTTAAAGTATTTTTTTTATTTCATTTAAGATTAATAAATTGCAAAATTTCTAAATAAATCACAAAATCAGAAAACTTTAAAGGAGAAACAAATTAAGATAAAAAAAAACAATAAGATATACTGAAACAAAATAAGACAGTCATTTGTTAACAAAAACTAACTTGACCATTTTTTAAGCATGTTGAAAATAAAAATCATCAAGATGATCTTTTAGATGAAAGAACTTAAAAGATTCTTGCTTTTTGGCTTATCCATAAAATCTTTAAACTGAAAAACACCAAGTTACATTGCTGTGGTGATAAAATCCTTAAACTCATGAAGTACCTAAGTAAAGTTTTCAAATGATCAACCAATTTTAGTTTTGTCAACTCCATCAAGACATAAGGGTCAAGATACTGGATGCTCTTATCAATGAATAATTCAATGGAGATTTATCGCAAAAGCTTTTTACCATTGAAACAACAAATTCTTGGCCACCTTAAAGAACTCTTTACTTTCAGACAATGTTATCAAATTTTTCTTTTTCAGATGATGTAGTTCTTCAAAAACAGAAAATCTTGCAGTAAGCTTTTTATCAGGTAACCGATTATTAGTCAAAGAAAGACCCACATCTTTCAACATTTTCTAGCTTCTGCATTTTTCAAGGACATCTGGTTTTGAAATACCTTTAAGCAACTTTATTATTATTTTCTTTGCATCAAACTATATAAATATGGAACCATTTCACAGTCTGTATGGTATTTGTTCAGAAAAGGTTCAACTATATTTGCAATATAAGCAAAGAAATGTAATTTGGGAAGCATTAAGTGACTTGAAGTGCCTTTTTTAATGTCTTTAGTTGTTTGAACTGAGGTAAAGCATTCCAGAAAGAAAATAAATTTTTTAACTTTTCCACAATTCGATCAATCTGTTAACTACCTTTTTGTTTTCAACCAATTTAAAATATAAATCGAATACCATTTAAAAACATTTTAAATCACATCTAGTCATATTGGTTCTCTTGTCAATACTTTTGTATTGACAAGAGAACCAATATGACTAGATGTGATTTAAAATGACTAGATGTGACAAGTTTCTTAGGTCATATAACACACCAAGACTTAACTCATTTCATAGATATTGTTAAAAATTTGGAAATAAAAAAGCTATACCAAATATTAATGGATGGTCCAAATGTCAATATAAAATTATTCGATGAATTCAGTACAAGTGTGACTGAAACTATCATACATTATATTATTAACATTAGAACTTGCAATTTGCATATTGCCATGGGCAATATGCAAATTGCAAGTTCTAATGTTAATAATATAATGTATGATAGTTTCAGTCACACTTGTACTGAATTCATCGAATAATTTTATATTGACATTTGGACCATCCATTAATATTTGGTATAGCTTTTTTATTTCCAAATTTTTAACAATATCTATGAAATGAGTTAAGTCTTGGTGTGTTATATGACCTAAGAAACTTGATCTAAAATAACAAACATTTAAATGATTTCTATTAACACCCCAGAATCTAATATAAATATCCATTTAAGAAGTTTGAGTGACCTCATTTAAACGCTCATCAAAAGAATAGACATGGATGTCTGACAATTTTAAAATTTCTAACAAAACTAATTTAAAATAAAGAGCTAAACCATGATTTAACTTCTAATTCAACCCATCTAAAATTGTGAAGCTATGGCACTGTCTGGAAACATAGCTGTAAAAACATTGCTTAAGTCATAATTTGAACGTAGAGAAAAACCACAATCCACATTTTTAAGCTGCCAAATAATTTCAGCCTTAGTAACATCTAGTTTTTTGACACACGAGTCTATTGTCTTTTGTTTTTCTGTAATTGACTCATTAGAGTCAGAAAAGACATATGGTATAGAACTTTTCTCTTTTGGTTTTGAAAGAATCCTTTCACTTTTCTTAATTCTATATTGTATTTTGCTCCTTTTGGGTGATCTGTCAAGACAGAGCTCTCACATGTAGAAAGTTCTATTGACCGGTGGCAAACCACACATCTTACTTTAGTATCATCTTTAAGATCTTTCTTTAGCGAATCTTCAAAGTTATCATTACTCAACCAGTCATCTTAAAATTGTCTTCAAAACCTGATTTTTTTAAACTAATTCCATATTTATACTAACTAAAATAACAATACTAATCTAAATTAAAAATAAAAAACCTTAAAAGGAATAAATATTGTTAGTAAGATTTAAAATAACCGCATAATTTAAAATAATAAATTATGCGGTAGTAGTGTAGTGGTAGAGCGCTCGCTTCATAAACGAGTGGTTCCGAGTTCGATCCCCACCATGTCCCTGGTAGTACCGCGCTCAACTCATTTCTCCGCGCAGCGGCCTTGTTCGTCAAGGTTCGTGTTTCGGAGTTATAGAGTTGAGAGAGGGTTATAGCCACAAATAAGTAGCCTCCTCGTCTGTAGTGGCCATCTCGGCCTTGAGGAGGTGAATTAAAATAAAAATTAAAAAAAAAAAAAAAAAAAAAACCTTCAAAAAACTAAACACAAATTAAGCTACTAAACAACAATTTAAAAAAATTTTCTGTTTTTCCAACATCAAAGTTGCATTAATTTTTTAAAAACAGTCTTTTTTTTCATATATATATATATATATATATATATATGTATATATAATAGGGTGCATTAAACGCCCCATACTTTCAAAAATTGATCTGTCCCTATTCTTAAAACATTCTATTGATTCTCACAAGACACTCTGTTAATTTTTTTAAAAACTGAATGAGATTTAGGGGGGCCACCTCAAGACTGAAACTTGCAACGAGACCCTTAACAGGACAAAAAAAAGCTTTTGCTTCTTTTGAGACCCAACATGAGACCCTTAGTTTCAGTCTTGACACCTCAAGACTGAAACTTGCAAGTTTCAGTCTTGACACCTCAAGACTGAAACTTGCAACAAGACCCTTAACAGGAGAAAAAAAAGCTTTTGCTTCTTTTGAGACCCAACATGACATACATTTTTCAAATGTATGTCATGTTGGGTCTCAAAAGAAGCGAAATTTTATAAAAATTTCAAAAATAATAAAAATTTTACACAAGAATTATTATTCTAAGTTTTATTGCATAAAATTATTATTTTTTAACATAAAATAAAAAAAAAAACATATTTTCATGGTTTTTGTTGAAATGTTTTTTTAAGGTATTTTTAACAAAAAATGATAATTATTTTTGAAATTTTTATAAATTTTCGCTTCTTTCGAGACCCAACATGACATACATTTAAAAAACCTTTTTTTCTACTGTTCAGGGTCCCTTCGCAAGTTTTAGATTTGAGCTGGCCCTATTAAATCTCATTTAAATTTGAAAAAATTTAACAGAGTGTCTTGTGAGAACCAATAGAATGTTTTAAGAATAGGGACAGATCAATTTTTGAAAGTATGGGGCCTTTGATGTAACCTAATATATATATATATATATATATATATATATATATATATATATATATATATATATATATACATATATATATATATATATATATATATATATATATATATATATATATATATATATATATATATATATGTATATATATATATATATATATATATATATATATATATATATATATATATATATATATATATATATATATATATATATGTATATATATATATTATATACATATATATATTATATACAAATTTAAGATGTTGTAAGCAGATTTCTAATCAAGCTGATCATATTGTTTGGATATTAAGTTTAAAAATTAGTAATGATAAATGAGTAATGAGCATTAATTATTTTGTGGTTGTATATATATATATATATATATATATATATATATATATATATATATATATATATATATATATATATATATATATATATATATATATATATATATATATATATATATATATATATATATATATATATATATATATATATATATATATATATATATATCAAAATTTTGTTTTTAAAAATTTTATTCAAAATCGAATAAAATTTTTAAAAAACAAAATTTTGAAAAGAAAAACAACAAGTAAACCATTATACCAATCAAAAAAATCTGTACTTTATGAACTCTCTTGCTTAATTCTCTGTTCACACTTTAAAAAAACTTGATTAATGTAATCTAATAGAACCTAAAAAACTCAAACAGAACTAATAAGAAATATTTTAGAAAAGGTGAAAACATTTAAATAAGAAATATTTTAGAAAAGGTGAAAACATTTAAATAAGTTAAAATTCAGTAAAAAAAAAAAAATTTAGGAGGAAAAAAATAATAGTAAAAGAAAAATATTTTTTCAACTCTAATTTGAATTAACTTTTTGAATTAAGTTAAACATAAAAATTACCAAAACTATTAAAATTTTTTTTTTTTTATTGGATTTGTTTTTAAAGAAATTTATTTTCAAAAAAAATTTATTTTCTAATTATTATAGATTAACTATTATTATAGTTTATTTTCACGAAGAATGAAACTTAAAACAATAAAAATTGAAGTTTATAGCTTAAACTTCAATTTTATTGCAATGTGAAATATTAAAAATATCAGCATTAAACTTTTCTTTTTGTTTCGCAGATACAGAAAATGTGAATGTTTGAATGATTGTTTCAGAAAATGTAGTTTCCATTTATTTCTTGTTTTTCTATAATTTACTCACCAAATTTCTCAATACAATTTTATTTTTCATTTCACCAAAGAGTTTTAATACCATATTTTTATTTAACTTATAAATATTCACCTCATTTTGATTTATATAATGCACACACTAGATTGCATTCAATTACAAACAAATTAGTAAATTATACAAACAAAGTTTATAACAGTTTATTTACTTAAGAAAAACACACAAAAAAAAACTTACCAATTACAATACAAGCGATCGGGATTGCCAAGAGAAATGCTAAGCAAAATGTACAACCAACTATACAAAATAACAACAATTATTAAAGAATCTGAATTACACACATAAAAATTATGATAAATACTAATAAGCTAATTTTACAGATTGCATGTAAAATATGAGAACAGTAACATATTGGAATACCTTTTAGCTTCCTAAAAGTAACAAACAAACAAAACAATACAAATTTTGTTTCATGTTTTGTTGTCACTTTTGTTAAGTGATAATAGAGCATCAATCATAGTAACACATGGTAATAGTTGTCATGGTAATGGTTGTAGAAAACTAAAGATGTAACTTTATTACAATATATAAAAAAATATATAAGACAATGTATAAGACAATAATTTAGTGGCAGTTCTGACTTGGCAGTCAGAACAGATCCAAAAATGCATTTTTGCACCTTGTCTAAAAACGATGGGGCATCATTAGAATTACTAGCCTAAATATGACATCAATACCCTATACAAGAACATATGAATAAATCAGAACAGATGAATGAACAGAAATGAGTAAGAAAATTCCTTAAAGACTCTAAAACCTTGTTATTAATAGTAAAAAGACTAAACAATAGTTAGGTCTGTACAATCTTCAAAGTTTTTAAAAAAAAGAATGAAGATCAAAGATTATTTAAACATCTCTAGAGACTAACAACTAAAATTGCATTAGACAACACCATTTTGTACTAAACATTTGCAATCAAATCATCAAGAAAATTCTATTAGTAAAAATAAAAAAAAAGTAAAAATTACAATCGAAAACAGTAGTAGCAAGAAGATCCATGCACAAAAATAGAGCTTTCATGTCTGAACCTTTCATGTCTGAACCTTTCATGTCTGTCTTCTTTCATGTCTGAACCTTTTACGTGAAATAAGAAGTATACTTGTTACAAAAAAAAACAACTCAAGGATTATCGAAAAGAAATCACTAACAACATTAAAATAATTTTTAGAAACCCAATTTTATTTTAAAGTTCAACATCCATGGTTTGAAAATGATATTTTCTCATTTAACCAAATAAATATGATATTTTCTCATTTAACAGAATAAAATTGGTATTTTCTCATATTACCGAATAAAAATGATATTTTCTCATTTAACCAAATAAAAACAATATTTTCTCATTTAACCAAATAAATTTTTTTTCACTGTGCTTAATCAAATTGTTATAATTTAAAAAATAGTAATCTGTTTTACTTTAAACTTAGCTCCTTCTTCTTGTTATTGGTTTTTACAAATATCTTTTTTGTCAAGACTTTTTTTGCATGTCATACAACTTTAAATAGTGAATTTTTTTTTTGCATGTCATGCAATTTTAAATAGTGAAATTTTTTGGAATAAAAAAAAAAAAAATAATGTATGAGAGAGAAAGTAGAACTTTGAAGCAAATAATAGATTTTATTTGAATATGTTATTTTGCAATAAAAAATAAACCACAGTTAAAAGTTATTCAAGAAAATCTCTGCAAGGACAAAAAATGCAATCATTTTTATGGTAATTGTTTAAAAAATACTTATCCAAGGTTTATTACTGTAAAAATAAATCACAATTAATAGACTATTAGAGCTAGAGAAACATTGGATTGGAGAAGATTAGACCAAAGAATATATTGTGATAAACATAATAATTTTTTGTTTGTTTGTGAATCGTTTAAACCAATTACAGAGAAACATTGCATCATCTTTTTCTTATCCAAAAAACCCTAAGACAAATAACATAAAGGACAAAAACACAAAGCAGGATATTTAAAAAAATATAAAATCACATCAAAGGAGACTAATCATCAATTTTTTTTTTTAACTGTCTCCTAACCATTAACAAACCTAGCTAAACATGACTGTTGCATGAAGATATAGGTTGAGCTCTATATTTCTAGAGACATAAGAGTGGATTTAAACTTTGAATTTAATGATTATGAGCCAAGTGTTCTACGACTAGTCTACTACTGGACAGGTTGTACTAGATTCACTAGTCTACTACTGCACAGGTTGGCAGCTTGTACTAGATTACATCTTACCAGTAGCAGTCTGATCCTGACCTAACAGTAAATTACAAATATATAGTCAAGATCAACCTGATGTATTATGTAATGTTTATTGCATATCAATTTTTTTATTGATGTACTATTGTATACCACAAAGTTTAATTCCTTTTTATTTCTGATAAACTTTGACAAAAAGCAAAAAAGTCTAAACCATATGTATACTTGTACCACTTAAATTTGCGAATCATCATTTTTTTTTTCAAAGACAGCAGTATAGGCAATATTTAAAGCAAACTAACTAAATATCTGAACAATTTATCAAACTGGTTACAAAGTAATGAATTGATAATAAATTTTTAAAAATGTAAAACCAAGGCAATTTCTTTTGAACTGAACAGAAACTACAAATGAACAAATTAAACTTTGAAATTCTCATTAAAAATACTCCAATAAACACAGCTGTTTCATACACCATGGTATAAAACTAAATTAGGAACTAAACAATAATCTTCTTGTTGTCTACTTAAATGTTTTTACAGAAAGATTACAATTGCTACAACAATTACAACATAATTGAACAGTTCATTCAACAATTGTTTCATAATTGAACAGTTCATGCATTTAAGTTTGTTTACCATTCAGTAATTTAAATTGTCAATTAAATATCAACAAAATGAATGATTTAAATTAAAAAGGTAAACAAATTAAATTGGGAAAATTAAAAAATAATAATTTATCTATATTGTCTAATATAGTAAACATGTAAAAAAAAAATCACTCTGTTTAAAAAAAAATCTCTCTTCCTCTTGTACCTATAGGTGCATTGTTAACGATAAAAAGAAAACAGTAGAGAACCATACATTTAGTGTCATGATGTATCACAGTGAAACAAAAACTATGATAATGTCTTTGTTTCACTATAATAGGTTGATAATATGCAGTGTCTGAAAAGGAGGGAAAAATGATAAATAATCTATGCAATAACAAGATTTTATTATAACCATGATAAAATTTGAAATTTTATTTTTAAACTTTGCAGCTCCTCAAGAAACTGATCTTAAAAAATTTTATGCATGGACAGCAAACAAAAATATAAGGAATAAAACTGCATTTTCAGGTTTCCTAATGGCACATTTAGTGAGAATTTTTCAGATATTTCTAATTTGTTGAACACCTTTTTTCAATTTGTATTTACTCAAGACAATGATAACCCCTTACTCTAATTACTTACAAAAATTCAATCCTGTTACTCAGGACTACTGCGAGAATGATATCAACGAAATAAACAGTTCAAAAGAAACTATTTTTCAATTAAAAACATTGGATAACCAAACAGCCTTGGGAAACTTTGAAGTTTTTCTGTATGTATTGAGCACCTGTGCTGAAATTTTAAGCATCACTATTTAACAAACTTTAAAAATGCACAAAATGTGTAAAAAGATTTAAACATAATTTTAGTTTTCAATAAATTAAAATAAGCTTGATCTTTCTAACTATGATCTTATGAATTTGATCTTTCTAACTATATACTTCTTTCACATTTGTCAGTTATATTTATAGTGTTAGAAAGAATCATAAAAAATAATCTGTGATAATAGTTGTAATGATCTATAGGAGGATATAAATATTGTGGCTAAGTGGTGCTATGACTGAAGTAAGCAACTAAATATTAAAAAATGCAAAACTATGCATGTCACTAAAAAAAAAAAAAAAAAAACATAATGAAATCTATTTAAAAATTCATTTTTAAAAAAAGATATAAATCTTATTAAAAAACTAAAAAAAATTTATAGCAATAAAACTAATCCCAGGATATTCATAATTAAATTATGAAAAAATTAAAAAGAATTAATTTAATAACCTTATTTTGGAGAAGCTAAAAAAGTGATTTAATATTTTTAAAAGTGTTAAGAATTTTTATCAACTTAATATAATACAGCTAGCGCATGAATTTTGTGGAGATCTTAATTTTCATTTTCTTTTAGAAATTAAAATTAAAGGGGTAACAAAACTATACATTTTATTTTTTTATCTAATAATTAGTTATCTGCCCTTTATTCTTAAGTGCCATTTCAATACATTTTGGCATGTTTTCAGAAAGTTTCTAAAAGTATTGCAGAGATATGTCCTGAATTTCAATTCTTTTTATTCTTATCATATACCTACTATAATGTATAGAGATAAATTTTTTTATCTAAACACACATTCATAGTTATATATGTACACATATACTGTTAGTGCTGCCTAAATCAATGTCAAAATACATTAGGCGCTGTTTAAAAATGGTTTTGAATAACCCTTTAGTGTATAGGCATGTATAGTGTATACCTAGTGTATATCAGTGTATAGTAAAGACCAATGAATAGTCTACTATTCATTGGTCTGTTCGTTTGGTATAACATACCAAACGAACAGTAAACAATACATTTTAGCACTTCAGAAAACTTCAAATTAATTTTCATACTAATTCAGAAAAAAGAAGGGTTATTTGCACAATACAGAGTTAGGGATCATCCATAAAGTACGTACGCTCGGAGAGGAAGTCTGCAAATGGCGTTGGCAAAAAAAAACCTACATACTTTATGGACGACCCCTTACACCAAAAATTGTCTGTGCAAAACTGCTTAGTAAAGTGGTTATTTATATTCGAATATATATACAAGTTAATTAAGCACTGTTTTCCCTTTTAAAAAAAATTTCATTAATGTTGGCAAAAAAACGGCATGTTGGGTTGGTAGGTTAAAAGTCTTCAAAAAATTTTTCTGATTTAATTTTTGTTTAATAAAAGCCTATTTATTTGAAAACTAAAAAGTTTTTTACAATTTGTTATTGCTTATTTATTAAACTTTCTTTTACTTTTTTTTAACTGCTACTGATATTTAAACTATGTATATAATATGTTAAAGAATATATTTAAAATATTTATTAAGATGAACTAAAGGATTTAATCAATTAAATATTTTGATGATTAATCTACCATAAAATATATTATTGCACTATATATACCGTAATATATTATTTACTGTAAATTATATTATATGATAATATATATGTATATCAGGGCTGACAGGAGGGGGTTCCGGGAGGGCAAGCCCCCCTTACTTTTACTTTTTTTCTAAAGGACCTTATATATATATATATATATATATATATATCAGGCCTTGTTTTAAAGCGTTACGCCTAGAGCGATTTACGTACGCCTTAAGCGATTTTTACGTACGCGTAGAGCTGTTTTGGTTAAGCTACTTTTTATCATTTTTTAACTTTTAAATTAGCGGTAACATAAAAGAAGTATTTAATTTAAAAAAAAAACCACATTAACTTTTAAATAACGTTGTGTAAAGGTATTTATTAAAAAAAAGAATTTACTTTAAAAATAATTATTGTAACTTTTCATTGCGATATATCTTTCCTTTTTATAGCAATTAATTTGACGCTAAACTTTTTATCCAAATATTTAGCAACATAAAAAATTGTTTGTCAATCCTTAACTACAAATTTTTTGCAATGTTTTTAATAAAAAGTAGTAATTTTTTAAAGTTTTTGGTAAAAAACTTTTAAAAAATCTATATTCCATATTTATTAATACAGAATATAAAAGTTTTTTGTAATAAAGATTTTTTATGAATTTTTTACTGAATTTATAATAAAAAACATTTGCAAAAAATTTTGTAATTAAGATTTGACATTTTTTTTTAATAAAATCTCAAAAAATGTCTTAATATTTTTGTTATCATGATAACAAAAATATCAAGACATTTTTTCGAGATGTTAAAAAAAATGTTTTTGCTTTTCTTATTAGTTTAATAGTATATAGCTTATAGTTAGTTTAATAGTATATAGCTTTTCTTATTAGTTTATTAGTATATAATTTAAGTTATGCGGGGGGAGGGGGTCGGCACAGAAAAAAAAAAATTACCTGTTACTCGCAATATTTGAATGAAGACAATTTGTTAAAATTCTTCTGCGTGCGATTCAATAAGTTTTTTTTTTCATAAATCAAGTTATAATATAAGGTAAAGAAATCATGAGTAGACTACAACATCCGCTGATGACACTAATATTACGTTGAATATATTTATATAACGGAGGTTTTATTATGCACGCGCACATTACAGGTTCCGTTAAATAAATACTAAGGCACGTTTTAGTTTAATGACAGTCTCCATTTTTTACTAATGAATATGTATTTTTCTTTATAAAACAAAACAAACTAGTATATAAAAACGTTGTATATTTCTATTATCTCTAAATTGTTTAAAGTTCGAATATGGATTGTATTTTGAAGGACAAAAGATTTACTTTAAAAACTTTTAAATCTTGGGACTTTGCCGATGCTTTGCCGATGCGATGATCACAGAAAAAGAGAAGACTTACGTTATTAAAATCAAATGTAAGTTATGTGATCTTCATCAAAATAAAATATTATCCAAAAACAATAGTGTCGTAAGGGCAACTGCCCAACGGTTTATAAATAATACGAGTCATGTTAAAATATTTTAACATGTTACTATATTTTAATTAAGTTGATATATAATTAAAAATAAAAATATAGTTCAATAAATAAATTAAATTTATTCTTAACAAAGATTACCTCATATTTATTTTTTTTTTTATTTTATTAAGTTAAATTGCTTACAAACGAAAAAAAAAAAGAGTTTTGTAATTATACGTAGAATGAAAATACTTTTGAGTTTGTTTATAAGTTAAGGAACTTAATTTTTAATAAACAAATTTTACGAACGTTTATTATAAACAGATACGATTCAAATTATTAAATATACTTAAATTATTTCAGTTGAGTATTTTTTTAAGTTTGCACGATTAAAGTTTGGCGTAGAAGTATTTGTTTTTTTGTTTTAAGAATAATTAACAAAAGAGTTTGCATAGTTAAGACTTTTATATTTAATTTTATTTTTTTTTTAATTTCCTAAAATTAAAAAAAAAAAAATGATTTAATCGTTGAAAACGATTTTTCTCTATAGCTCTGTTTCTTTGTGATTTGTTTAAAAAGTTAAATATTTTTACAATAACATAAAAAATTTATGAATTAAATTCCTAGCGAACGCGTTCTTAACTACGTATCAAAAATATGCACAAAGCAGACAAAACTTTTTATATTTTTATAAAACGCAAGTTTGAAACGCTTTTAAAAATTTTAAAAATATTTAAAAACTTAAATTTTTCTTTGCTAGTCAAAACAAAATCGTTGTTTAAATAATTAACATGGGTTTGCGTTTATCAATGTTAATATTTTTTGTTTACTCTAGAAATTTTTAAAAATAAAAAAAGTCATTATTATTTTTTATTCAATAACAATTAAAAACAATTATTCAAAAACAAATTTCAGAAATAATATATATATATATATATATATATATATATATATATATATATATATATATATATATATATATATATATATATATATATATATATATATATATATATATATATATATATATATATATATATATTACTAAATAATATTGAACTAAAATTAATAATAAAATAACAATTGAAAACATTACAAAATTTTCATAATAAATTTATATTTAAAACGTTTATAGTTTATATTTGTGTTAATTGTTAAATTGAACTAGTTTGCGGTTATTCATTTATAGAGGTAATTAAAACACTTAACGTCTATAAAAAAAAATAAAGATAACCTTATGACGTCAAATATCGCGTTAAGCTAATGCGTTGAGCACTTTTTTATTTAAAACAAGGCCTGATATATATATATATATATATATATATATATATATATATATATATATATATATATATATACATATACTTCATCATATAAAATTAAAATTACATTTATTATTGTGATTTTTATTACAGCATGTTTTTAACTTTGATTGTTAAGTTTAATTACAGAGAAAAGAACAACTTAAATTAAAACTTTCTAATGCCATAAATAAAATAAAAAACCATTAAAAAAAAAATCATTTTACCAGTTGATAAGAATATCATAATTGTTTTTTTAAGAAATTCTAATATGCCAGATGATTGTTGGCGAGCTTGACGTATTTCTCCAAAAATGCTTTCATAAGAAGGAGGAGGATCTAGAATAAAAATGTGTTCCAAAAACAAATAAACTAAAAAAGTATAATTAATATCATCAAAAACTTTATTTTTCAATATCATTAAAGTGGAACAAAAAAGTTATGAGAGGATTTTAATAAATTAGAAAACAAAAAACAAAATTTTCAAAATAAAAGTTTTTACTAACAGGGAAAAGTCTAATTATTCTGAAAATCATTTTGAACTCAGACATTTTTAATCTCCCAAATAATTGATGAAACCATTGCTATCAATCTTTTGAGATAAATGTTTAGAAAAAAATCTGTCTTGGTTTAAACTAGTAAAACATCTATCAATAAAATAGCTATATATGAAATAACAAAGCTGAAATAAAAGAATCCATTAAAAACGCAATAAAAAGTCAAAATTAATTCAAAGTTAAAACCCTATTTGAGGCTAAGCTTAAACTTAGGTTTTAACCATTGTAATTTTTTTTTTCAAAAATATAATACCAGTATGAACATTTAAATACTTGGAGATCATAATACTGGTAATTTATCTTGAATCACAAAAAACAAATTTACAGGAAACTTTAAGATCATAATCAAATACTATCCAGAGTGATTTTAAACAAGAACCTTTACATAGACTTGCTTTAGAATATCTCTTATACAGTAGAACAATATTATTACTCCCAACAAGGTTGCAAGTAGCCACTTAGGAGTTCAGAAAGCAAGCAAGAGAGTTCCAGCGCAAGAAAGTGGTTGACGATTAAACAAACTGGAGATTGTATGAGTCAGAAAAACTAAATGAATAAAAGTTTATTGAACACAAACGTTAGTTACAATAAAATAATGTGAGCTGAATGACAAGTTATACAAGATATTTTTACTCCACTTTAGAGGGAAGATTATCAAAAAAATCATTAATATAGATAAGGAACAACACAGGACCATTGATGGATTCTTGAGGTACCTCAAAGGTAACTAAGAAGAAAGGAGAGTGTTATCCATCGAGAAAAACTTTAATATATTTAATAATTATAAAAAAAAATCCTGCACACGCCATATGAAGGAAGCTTACAGAGAAGATCAGCTTACCAAACTTAATCAAAACCCTTCAACAAATCAAGAGCAATACCTGTTGCCTCATTGACAATATTTAATGTAAAACAGAACCTTTCTGATGTAACAGTTAACAAGTCAACAGTAAACTGATTGGATCAAAATCCATATTGATTGTCAGAGAGTTATTACACAGATAAGATATTAAAAGTTTGTTAATTAAAAATTCAAAGATTTTGATAATAGTAGTAAGAGGGTTGAACGATAGCTAGAAGGGTCAGAGCAAATTCTAAAGACTTTAAAAACTTGAACAACAGATGCCATTTTCAAACAAACAGAAAAAAGCTGCCTGTTTGAAAAAAAAAAGTTAAGCACTTGTTAAATAGTTGAGAGAGAGTTCAGAAGTTTTGTAAGGTTTTGTAACCTTTTGTAAGGTTGCAGAAATGTTGTTCTTGCAGAAATGTTGTTTTTATTTTGCAGGAATGAGTGAAACTGATATAGAAGTACATGTTTCAGTGATATAACAGTATGATCTAAACCATCTAATGGAGAAAAAGAAGAAATTAAGCACAAGAGTCAAAGATGCAACACAAATCAAGAAGTGAAGGAAATTGGGTATAATTTTACCTAATTCTTATAATTGGGTAATTGGGTACAATTACCCAATTATAAGAAAAATAAGTCACAAAGTTGTCTGAAAAATAAGTTACAAAGTTAACTATCTGAGTAAGCAATTGAGAAAGACAAATTTGAGCTTTTCAACCAGTAAGGTCAATGGTACTAGAGCTAAGCTCTAATACCATTGTACATAATAATAAACAATTAATTCATAAATAACAACAGCATTAGCTGAGGGATAATCAGCTTGATCAATTTGATCAGTAACAACATCATAAAGAGTAGTCTTGGGAAGAAGGAGAATGATAAGAAACAAAAAAATAGAAATTATTAAGTAAAGAGCTAAACAAATGTAGATAAAATAGTCAAAGTATTTAAACTTAATTTTGTAACAATTAGATTGATTCATAAGTATATGCCTAGGCCAAGTGTGTGACTATTCTACTAGTACTACATATTTGGCCTGGCCATGACTTTGCCCTGACCCTGGCTTGGCCATGACTAGTATTTACCAATAATAGCCATCAACACTGAGATCCAAAGTTGAAACAACCAAATTTAAACTAGTCTGACAAAGAGCAAGTATCTCTAGTAATTTTTGCATGAGGTAAAGTTCAATGGGTACATAAATAACTGTAATTAAAGTACATAAGTAGTTGATTTTAAAATCAGAAAAAATTAGACATAAAAATAAAAATTTAAAACTTTCAAAATATAGTTATAAACAATATCATAAATTCATAAATTAATTTTACCCTCTACAGTATTGTAATTTGGAGGTTCTAAGTTTCCATAATCTGGAGGAGGCGTAGCGTCTGTTAAACACTAAAAATTAAAATATTCATCTATTTCAATATTGCAGCAGCACAAAATATATTTGCTACCCTGGCTAGAATAGCTAGAGCTAATGTGTTACTTGCCAAACCAAAATGTCATTTAAATGCATAGAAAACATATCAAACAAGAGATTTCAAAATTATTGATTACCCTTATAATAAAGTTACAACAAAAAATTGGTTCAAAAATTTTATTTTACTCATATAATTCAATGTAGGGGAAAACAAGGAACATTCGACGAAGGGAAATTTTTATGCATGTTTTGTCTGTTAATAAGCTATCTCGGGAAATAAGTATCAATCCATCTTTTTAGTATTAGTACTTATATAGAAGAAAATCAGATTATTGATATAATAGGTGATTTTTTTTATGTTTTAAATAATTCACAGAGAATCTCTTTTCCAATTTTAATCTCCTAAACTTTTGTGTTGTTTATTATTTAATGATATCTTGAGTTAAAACTCTTTGTATTTACTTTACTTCAAAAAATTGATTTCGACTTTTAACAGCATTTGTTTATATATAACACGTGTGGGGTACATTCGATTTACCTAGCTGGGGTACATTCGAACTACCTAGCTGGGGAACATTCGACCAGTACTTGAAAATACCGCAATAATTTTTTTTTTTTATTTTTTAGGTACCTTGAAAATATGTAATGAAAACAGATAGAAACAAAAGAAATGAAATGTGTTAAAGGAAGCAATTATTAGTATTTTCAATAATTCACTGTCTGAATGACAAGCCGCAAAATGATTTCATACCCAGATATGTCACAAATAGAACCCTAATGCGAGAACCAAGTGAAAGTTTAGGGGTAATAGATACGCTATTACAAAATAATTTACCACCCTTATCTACTAATGAAACGCATTCGTCCTACAACTACTAGAATAACTCTAACAATTAAAAACTGATTCCAGCACATGCAGCCCTTGCCTAAAGCTCTTTAAAGACAAAACAAATAAAGAGGAAACCAGGGAAGTCAACGATATATACTGACACTCCTGAAAAGGAAAAGATTGAGAAACGTCATTTGGAAAAAATTTAAAAAAAGAGGAAAAGTTATCAACCTGAAAAAAAAAATGCTTTTAAAGTCTGTGACTCCAACAAAGATGGAAAGAATGGCACCGTTATTTTTATTTCGATATAATTTGGCAAATCTTGTTGTAAAATAGCTATTACTATTTGTTTTTATATATTTTGTGGAATGTTTTTATTTGTGCAATAAAACATAAAAATAAAGAAAGCTTATAGATTTATTATTTTATTAATAATGATATGGTCAAAAGTACCCCTCTAGGTGGTTGAAACTACCCCAGCCGTGGGGTACATTTGACCACTTTGAGACTTTTAAAACAGTGGTAGATTTAACAAAAATCAATATTTTATATAAATCTTTTAAATTTGTTTGTTAAAGACCATTATTTGTAATGCTTAAAATATGTAATTGTTTCAGGCAAAAAATCATTTGTAAATTAATAAAAACCAGCTAAGTGGTCAAATGTTCCCTATCCTCCCTCATCTATGCTTTCTATGCTTTATGCTTCCTGTTCATGTTACATCAACAGGAAGCATAAAAACCATAACAAAGCATATTTTACTTCATATTAAAGTTGAAAATAAAAAATAGAAATAAAATTAATAAAAAAACTTTTAATTTTATTTTTAAAAGTCTTTGTTTTGTTTTTTAAACTAGAATGCTTTTGAAATATTAACAACTATTTTCAAAATTTATCTTAAAACTAAAAACAAATGTATTATTGAATAGAATGAATGAGAATTAGCTAATAAAGGATATAAAGTAAAAAATTAAGTTAATTAAAATTGATCATTTATTTATTTATTTTTTTTAAAAAGTTAAATACATTTGTATTTTTTTTCTTTATCTAAAATACAAACATTTTTATTTGCATTTGAATTTAAAAAAAAACACAGACTACATATATTTTTATCTGAATTTGAATTTGGGAATCTAAAACTAATATATTTGTATTGTATTTTTGTATCAAATGTGTTTCACCACAATCCTGGAAAGCAACTAGTTTGACCCCAACCCTGGTAAGCAACTAATTCTTTCAAAAAGTGAGCTAGGGCACATTAGTAAAATCAATTACATAAAATTAATAATATATAAAAACTTTTTTTTAGATTTGAATCAATGGAAAAATACTACTGATATAAATTGATTTGCTAAAATTAGTAAAAAAAAAACAAACACCAACACTTTGACATAATAACAGGAAATTACAACAGATATAAAAATAAACTTAAAAAAAGCAAATTTTTTTGATGTCATTTTTAAACTTTTTTAAAATTCTTATATGCCCAATGAAAAAAAAATAAAAGCAAACTATTGTATTAAATGTAAACAATCCCTATCAAATTCAAAAAAAACTCCTATTTCATATAACAATAGAGTCAGAACACTTTTAACAAAAATATCTTTAACAAAAATAACTTTACTCTTCTGAATATGTTTAGGAAGATGCTTTTAAAAAAAAATAGGTTAAGATTTGAAAATAAAATAGCAAAAAAAAAAATTAGAAACATATTAGTTCAAGAAAGTACAACATTCCATTTGTTGTAATGTTAAAAGATTTTAATAAAAATAAACAATTATAAAAAAAATTTGAAAATTGTTTGCAAACAAAAAATTGATAACTCTAAAATGGAAAATACCTATCAAAATGTTATTTCACAAATACATTCTTTAAAATTTTTTCACAATTAGATTTTACAAAATACTTAGATTACAGAACTCATCTCTCTATGGGGAAAAAGTCTCTAACTTAATTTTTTAAACTTGTTTTTACCTTTCTAAGATTAGAAAATTTCACCATATAGTTGTTGTTGTATGTAAAAGTTTATTTATAATTTTTTAAAATAAAGTTGAACAATTTTTTTCATATTTAGTTCTTAATACTGATATAGGTAGCCATGAGGGTTTCAGTACATACATTGGTTGATGTAGGAAAAAACATGCAAGGGAGTTGCTGCTATATCAACTGAGAGTTTGGGTTGGAGCAGCAATAAGTTTTTTTTTCATTTTATGAAAAAACTATATGGATTCAGATTTACAAAAACAGTCGGCAAATGAAAAAACAGTCAGCAAGGAATATACTTTTTACCACATTTTTGTAATATGGGGAATATTTATTGTTACTGTTCTACAAAATGTTGAGTTTGAAGAAATAAGAATTACAAAGTTTTTATTATTATTTATATATCTATATATATATATCTATATCTTTATCTATCTATCTATCTATCTATCTATCTATCTATCTATCTATATATATATATATATATATATATATATATATATATATATATATATATATATATATATATATATATATATATATATATATATATATATATATATATATAAATATGTATATATATATATATGTATATATATGTATATATATATATATATATATATATATATATATATATATATATATATATATATTAAAAATTTACATATATATATATATTAATAATTTATATATATATATATATATATATATATATATATATATATATATATATATATATATATATATATATATATATATATATATATGTATATATATATATATGTATATATATGTATATATATATATATATATATATATATATATATATATATATATATATATATATATATATATATATATATTAAAAATTTACATATATATATATATTAATAATTTATATATATATATATATATAATATATATATATATATATATATATATATATATATATATATATATATATATATATATATATATATATATATATATATATATATATATATATATATGCAGTGTTGCAGATACAGTGTTGGAATAAATTTGACGTGTGGTAGAAAAGTTTTTAATTATAATATTTACTTATCTTGGTCATTATACAAGAAATATTGAAAAATCAAAAACTAAATATTGAAAGATCAAAAACTCAATTTTAATAACAAAAAAATTAAAACTTTTGAAAAAACATTCAGTATAAAATTTAAAACCTTTGGAGGTGCATCGCACTTGGTAGATTCCACCATCTTCTTTATATTTTAAATATTTATTGTTGAGTTCAAAAAATTTTTAGTTTTATTTAAAATTTCTAGTCTTATATTTCTAAGAAAAATAATAACAACGCTAAGTTAAAGCTTTTTTTTTGTTTGTTTACAGCTGACTAAAACAAGTCGGCAATTTATTCATGAAATCGTTGGATTTTGTTTTCGAGCGATGTTTTTAATTTAATCGTTCATTCGAGCGATATCGATTAAAGTAACTCGATTAAAGTAACTCGTTTTTTTTTAAACTTGTGATCACATGGTTTGATTATATAATTAATTATATAAAGTGGACAGGGTCGTCCCGAACGGGGGATGTAGGGTTGTCTCGATCCCCCCCCCCTCTAAAAGCTGTCATATAAGCATTTGAGTTGGCACATTCAGCAAGTTTTGAACTATAGTTGGCAAATTGCAAATATTGAGGATATATATATTTTTTTGATGTCTCTAGTTGGTGTCCCCCCATGAAAGACCTCTTCGGGACGGCCCTGAAAGTGGATTAGCTATGATGCGATTTATTTACATTGTAATTTTAGTTATTTCAGCATTTGTAGAGCTATTTTTGATTTTTAAATGGAGTATTTCCTTACACGTTTCCTTACTGCTAAAACTTAAGAGTCATTTATATGAGTTCGCGTCAGTATTTAGCACGCTTATTTGAGTTAAAATAATGTTGATGACGGAATAGCCAATTTAACAGCGAATAACGTCAGTTAGCTAATTTATATAATAAGCTTTAATTATTTACGTACTTTAACTTCTACTTCTTATGCAAATCAATTGATAAAGTATATACCAGTGTTTATATAACTTAACAAAAATAAAGCGTTTTTAATCATTGTTTACTTGAAGTTGCTTTTTAAAGGAAGTTGCTCCTCTAGTTATTATTTTTGTTATTTGCTTATTTTATGATTTTATTATTTTAACAATTTTACTTGATTTTAATATTCAATTACGGTTTTTCATTATGATACGTTGTTTTCCTGACAGTGACGGATTCAGGGATTTTTGGTAGTGGTTGTGGAGGATGTTTGAAAAATTTTTGTATTTTGTACTATATTTGGGTCTCCTTAAAAAAAAGGCCCTCAATTTCAACAAGATAATTTTAGGACTTTCAGATTCTGGTGGGGGTTGGGGGGGATGCATTCTCCCTCCCGTCTGGATCCGTCACTGTTTCCTGAACGTTGTACATGCACACTTTTTGTACGTATTTCTTTTTTTTTTTTTTTTCCTCAATTATTTAGACCTACAAATATTTACAAGTTCCGTCTTTTATAATATATATAAAAATGGCAAGGACGAGAAGAAGACAGGTTTGCCTTATCACCAAGTCCCTTGTTTTTTCAAGACATTTATATAAATTTATGTAACTAAAATTAAAAATTAAAATTGAGAGAAAAAAGCAAAATGTTTCAAAGAAGTTTATACAAAATGCAAAATAGTTTAATAGAGTCTTTCGAAGTTATTTTTAATAAAGGAAGTAATTTAATCTCAATAACACGAAGGTTAACTTATACACTTATCGCAATGCTATTTATATTCAAATTTCAAAGTTATTTATTGAAAGAAAATTTAATAATTCATTCAAGAAAACAAAAACCAACATCAACAACAACAACAACAACAAATAAAAACATTAAAGTTAATTTGCAATCAAAAGATACTATATATATATATATATATATATATATATATATATATATATATATATATATATATATATATATATATATATATATATATATATATATATATATATATATATATATATATATATATTTATATTTATATACATACACATATACACATACACATTATGTATATATGTATAGGTATATTTCTGACTTTCATTTCTAACTTTTTCATTTCTAACTTTTTTTTTTCAAATAATTGTTATATTTTACTTACTCTTTATTATTATTATTATTATTATTGTAATTGTTATTATTATTATCAGAGGCGTCTCGAGGTGGGCGTAGGGGTATGTAGCGCCCTACGAAATTTATTTTGGCAAATGTTAGCCGACAAGAGCCATTTTTTTTTTGTTTTTTTTTTAGGTTTTAGTCGGCACAAAAGATTTTCTAGGTCTCAATCGGAAAAAAACAGATACCCCTTCCTTGAAAATCTCTTCGAGACGGCCCTGATTATTATTATTGTTATATTATTGTTATCGAGAATGTTTATAAAAGCCTCATTTGGGACAACCTATAACTTAAGTTTTAAATAAAATGAAATAATTAAAAATTAATTTTTGTTTGATACAACTCTTTTTTCTTGTGTCTTAAAAAATAATTCTTCAAGATTATTTTTGTTTATACAGAATGTAAAGTCTCTTTTTAAACTTCTTCAGAACTTTGCTCAGTCGATTTGCTTCAAATTGTTTTTAAATTAACAAACATGCTTAATTTAGACGCGATTATATATAATAACTTTTATCAAGTGTTAACCACAATATAAAGTGATAACCACAAAATTATAAAGTGATAATCACAAAGAAAATTTTTTTTTAAATTGTAAAAAAACTTTATGAACCAAAAAAATTTTAATTCAAATTAGTATATGAGCCGGTGAGAATCAGAATGGTGTAAGTCAACGTTTCTTCAATTTGAGATACTTAATGTTTTATTAAATTTAGCGTAGAGAAAACCCTACAAACTAAAATTTAAAAAAAAACAGTTGCCAGTTTCTTCACATAAACTTATACCTTACACCAGTCTCAAGTTTAATATAATGATGCTTTGTAATCATAAATATTGGCTTTACTCAAATTTTTTTTGAAACCATGCTGGTTCTCACCAGCTCATATTTATATAAAGTAAATATCGCAACGTAAATATCGCTAAAAATGCAGATGCTTCATATAAAAGCAGAAAATTGTCAAAATCACGTTAAAATGAAGCATTTAATACCTTAATTTGCAACACGATTTTTTTTAAATCATAGTAATTGTCTGTCAATCCATGAAATAAAGGAAACAAATTAAAATCTATGAAAACAAACTGTATTTAGCTTTTTTATTTAATACTTTGTGTTTTACTTGTACTTTGTGTTCTATTGTTTAAATGTCTTTGCAATAGTTAAAATAATTCCAACACCAACCAAAGTCCTCACTTAATTGTACTTATACTGAATGTGTTTATCGACCTATATTTAGGTTCATAACCTATATACTTTTATTAGATGTGTTTATTTTTTTATTTTTCCACCGAGTGGAAAAATAAAAAACTTCGAAACTTTTATCAAAAACACAAATAAAAAAATAAATAAAGAAAAAACAAACAAACATTGATTGTTACTGGTGCCATAAGTCTTGATGCTCTATCTAACACACAATTTCCAAAAAAAAAATTATATGTTTTTTGAAATTAATGTTTTATCTGCTATTACTAAACACGAGTGACAAAAACCTCCACGATAGCAATTGACAATATATTCATCAACTATTGTTTAGAAACGACATTTGAAACTGGGATATTTATGACAGATATTAGTGATCACTTTCCGATATTCATAAAAGTTTAAATCTACACCTGATTGTCAACCAAAAATCATACATTTAACCTAAAAATAAGTAATACTAATAAATTAACAAGTAGACTAATACAAGAAACGTGGACAAACGTATATAAATGTCATGATACTAATAAAGCTCACAATGCTTTTTTAAGTACATTTTGAAGAGATTTTTCTTATGAACGAAAAAAATTATAATTAGTTATTTGTGTAAAACTTGCAAGGCCTTTGATATTTTGCAAACGATATTAAGGTGAGTTTCCACTCATCCGTTTTTCTACGAAAAGAGGAAAGGGAACGGAAAAATAATCACGTGAGCATCCGCAGTTTTCTTTCGGACAAATAAAAACTTTTATTATGCATGCTCACGTGATTATTTTTTTCCTTTCCTATCCCGTTCCCGTTGAAAAACGGATGAGTGGAAATTCGCCTTTATGTTCAGTAAAATTTCTTTTTGTGTAGAGCTAATTAAGCAAGTCTCTCTAAACAAAATTTAAAAGTTTAATCTATATTTTTATTAATATTCAAATATAGAAACAAGAACAAGAACAACTTTTTTGTTTACATCCTGTAGGATGTCAGCTGACATGCCTATTTAAGTGTTTGTTGTATTGGAAAATTTGATGGAAGTCCATGTATTTGATAACTTATTCATGGAAAAAAAAGGCTTTTCAAACTTTTACTCAAAACTTTTGAATGAGCAACAGAATTCAATTGTCATACAAACTTATAAATTAATCAATTTAATTACAAATTAGTTCAGTGTAAGAATTGACTTTTCAAATATAGTAGTACCGCGCTCAACTTGTTTCTCCGCGCAGCGGCCTTGTTCATCAAGGTTCGTGTTTCAGAGTTATAGAGTTGAGAGAGGGTTATAACCACTATTAAGTAGCCTCCTCGTCTGTAGTGGCCTAGAGGTGAATAAAAAAAAAAAAAATCTTGAAAACTACGCATTGCGTTATCAACTAATGGACAAACTAAAAATATATATATTTTTATTATTATTTGTGTTTAGTAAAAATGGCTAACGAAATTAAAGACTCCCTTTAAGAAAAAAATGTCAAAAAAAGCAATCAAAAAAAACAACAACTGGGTGGCAAGTAAATTGAAAATTTTGTTATTTATCGTGTATCATTATCAATTTTGTAATTGTAAATAAATAAAAAAAGTAGTGTAAATAAAACTTTTCTTTTTATGATCTATGTAAATTAAACACATTTTATTGCATTGTATATTTACAATATATATTATTGCAATGTATATTTACTAGCATATATATATATATATATATATATATATATATATATATATATATATATATATATATATATATATATATATATATATATATATATATATATATATATATATATATATATATATATATATATATTAATATATATATATATATATATATATATATATATATATATATATATATATATATTAATATATATATATATATATATATATATATATATATATATATATATATATATATATATAATATATATATATATATTATATATATATATATATATATATATATATATATATATATATATATATATATATATATATATATATATATATATATATATATATATATATATATATATATTGATATTTTGATTATTTGATAATAATCAACTCTTTTTTGATTTGAGAGTGATCA